CACCCCATCTGTACTTCCCTTTGGGGTGAGAGTGAGCAAATCCTGGCTGGGCGTGTCCTTCTGCCCTTACACCTTCTCCCCCAAACAGGACTGAGGGGGGCTTCTCTGCCTGTGGTGATGGGAAGGTAGAAAAGAGCCATTTGAGATTAAGAGAGAAGAGGAAAGGGGACACTCTGAGATGTCAAAGACCCTGCCTCCCCTCAAATTCACACTTACCTGGGCGCACGGATCCTCAGCTGGGCCCACTCCAGGCTCCCGGCTGCTGGGTCCCCCTATGCGGCTGGGTGGCAGGCGGTGACAGGTGTGGAGGTGCCCAGTTAAATGCCTCCCGACAGTCACAAACAGGTGTTTAACGTTTCCTAGGGCACACTGCTCCACTCTCACGGGCGAGGAGGCTGGGTGCGTGCCTGCACATGCGCTCCCCCAACTAGTACCTTTACCTGCCACTGAGCTTCCGGGCCCACGTGCTCCCAAACGGTAACCAGAGCTTAAGCAAAACACCCACGGAGCTCGAGCTATGCAAATAGGCACGCACACACTCAGATGGATGCAGGGAACGGGGGCTGGGAAATGGCACAGGAAGCAGAAAATTCCCGGGGATACTTCAGGGGGCATGTGTGCAGGGAGTCCAGAAGTGGCACCTCTGCTCAGGGGGTGGGTGATGGCCGGGTATTCAGCACACACACCTCCCCCAGTCTCCTTTCCTCGTCTCTAGTTGGGGCTCCTGTTTGGCATTAGTTTAGGGGCAGGCCCTGAATGTCAAGAGATGTTCCCCACCCTCTCCCTGCCAAGCAGGAGCCTCTTGGGGCAGCCAGACCTGTGTGGGTACCAGGGCCTCTGGCACAGCTCCCCTGGAGACCAGGCAGGCCCAGGCGTGCTACACAAGGGAGCAGGCGTATGGGGGTGGCTCTGACAAAATCCCGGCTGGGCTCGGCAGGGCGGGAGAGTTGATAGGCTCCTGGCAGCTCCTCAGGCCCTTGTGCCTGGGCAAGGAAACCACAGCCTGAAACTCCTGGTTTCCACGGGAAGGCGGGATTTTTTGAGGCCTGCTCCATTCAGGCTGCCTCCCAGACTCTGTCATTCCTCTGAGGCCAGAGGGGCTGCCAAGCATGTCGGGCACCGAATCATAGGCTTCCAGAAACTCAGCTAGGCTGGTGCCCTCATTTCCCACCCAGTGTGGGAAGAATTTGCTGAAGTCATTGTTCCTTTCTCCAGGGTCCTACAAACACTGTGAAACCGACCCTCTTAGGTGCAGACAGACAGCAGCTGGAAATGGGGTCCCAAGAACACCGGTGGTCTTCCTGGAGGTGCCAGACACTATTTGAAGCACTTTCTGAATATTAACCCCTTCAGTTCCCACCATAACCCTAGAAAGTAGGAACTATTATTGTTCTCTCCATTTTTTAGAGCTGAGGAAGTGACTTGCCCAAATTCACACAGCTAGCATGTGGCAGGGCTGGGATTTGAACCCAGGAAGCTTTACCAGCATTTTAATTCTTTCTGTTTTTTGTTTTTGTTTTTTTTGGAATTAAGCAGAATTGTGAGAAAACCATTTAGGAATAGGTTGGAAATGGCTTAGGAGTAAGTGTTGTACACTTGAGGGCCAGGCAGGTGAAATAAATGTGTGACTCAGGCTGGGCAGGGAGAGGCCTGTGCTCCAATTGGAGAGTGTGTAGGCATCAGGGGTGTCCCTCTGCAAATTCCCTAAAAACAAAACTTGCCTGAAGGCTATTTGGGGGCTAACTTAGAGCAGGTCTAACCTAAGTCCAGTGCACCTGGGGCTGTAAACAGACTCCTGCCAGGAAAAGCCAGGAACAAGAGGCCTACCAGGGCATACCAGCTTGTTTCAGGGATGGTTTGAAAGGCCACAGAAGTAGCAAAGGGCAGAGATGGATCAATGAGTTAAAGTGGGGAGTTACCTGTCTCTGGAGGAACGAGGCTCATGGATAGCCTAAGTCAAATGACACACTCCTATGGCCACAAGGAGGTCCAAAGAGGCCACTTCAGCTCTAGGGCTCATTTAACAACGCAGATTCCTCCATTCTAGGATTTTAGCTTCAGCCTAGTCACTGATTCATGGTTACTCCAAGTTCCTTGCTATAATCCCTTAGTCTGCTTTTCTGACTTGTTAAAAGGAGAGTGATATCATATTAGAGGCTGAACCTATACATTTGCCGATTTTCAATTGGTTTTGACCTACAAAAACATCAATTTCATGATTCAATGCTGGTTCCAGAACCAGGTGGGCATAGCTTTCCTTATTCACTTCTAGCCAAAGCCAGCTTGATGGAGACAGGGTCAGGCAAAGCAGTTCTTTGAGGGAAATTCACATCCCCGCAGCTCTTCTTGGATGCACCTCCCTACACACACACACACACACACACACACACACACACACACACACACACACACACACACACACACACACACACACAGAGCCAGAATCCAGAGCAGTCCTGTCGTTTTCAGCTGTGGACACAGAGACAACTGCCCAAGGCCACCCTCCGATCAGGGAAGACGATTCAATCGCTCAGATGTGGCACAGACCAAGCTCGTGCTGCATCAGGTTTTGTGCTCTGCACTATCCCGTGGGGCGCAACCAGAGCTTAATGGATGCGCCCCAGGCAGAAGGCGCTCCCTGGCGCTATTGACTACACCGCACAAACCTCTGGGAGAACGTGGAACAAAGGAGGCGGTGGCGCCGGCTGCGGGCAAGGAGCCCCTTCCTCCTCCTAGACGAAGAGGGGCCCCGGGCCCACGCCTCCGTAAAGACAGCTGGCGGTCACCATTGTGAGTCCCTTAGAAGGCGAAGGAGAACCCCACCTGCAGCCACTGCGGCTTCTTGGACAGGCTGGGGACCCGGCGGGCGCTCCCCCGCCTCCGTGCCCCCGGGGCTGGATAGCAACCGCTGGCTAGCGGGAGGCGGCGCGGGGCCCCCGCCCTGTCCAGCACCTGCCCAGGTTTGCGGGCTGCGCCCCCCGCCCCAAGACAGTTCAATCGGGAAATCCCTACAGGCCAGCGAGCAGGCCGGCCGACGCGATCGGGGGTGCGGGACTAACGCGTGCGGGACAGGGTGA